AGCCATTTAAAAAACTCGCAGGTCGTGTTTTATTAGGTCTAAAGCCACTCGCGCTGCGCGCTCGTGGCTTTAAACCTAATAAAACACTCCTGCTCGTTGTTTAAATAGTACATCGAACTTTAATTTTAAAGTTTGTAAAGTTATAATTTAAATCCATTTGTGAGACCTTCTAATGTAGCTTATTGTGCTGTGATATAGACTCTATAACAACTTTTAATAATTATCTTCATTTTTTATTGGATATATTTACTAGCCAAAAACAAAGTTCAAAGACCTAGAATGAGAAGCCTGCTTTCAATTCCCGTTCCCGCTAAAACAAATCAGAGCGGTGGTTCAAGTAACTGGCGAAACAAAAACGGTGCAGAATCCATGACCTCCCGAAGCGAAGACATTCAGTCTGTAACACGTGGTAGGCCAGTGAAACTAGAACCAATCTCTGTGAAAATAAACAATGACGTTGTAAAATTTGTAATGAAGAACCCAGCATTCACTCAAGAACTGACAGAACAACTCGAAAAACAAAATGGAGAAGTCCAATGGAAACATGGCATCCCTTTTGTTACTGTCGTACAAAAATCTGAGTCCGTTTTTGTTTTTAAATGGTCTGAAACGTGCAAGAGTTTGGTTACCAAATTTTTCCAACGCTTTCGTAAGGAAAGTTATACAATTCAAGAAGATATACAAGAGTCAGTTTGCAAAGGACTTGAAGGACTCAAAGAAACTATACATCCTTCGGGAGCGGATTGTTGGCTTGCATCAAACAACCGGTGGTTAGTTTTAGTTAGCTTAAAAGACAACCTTCCCTCTATTATCAAAGTTGTTGAAGGTTTCTTACAAAATGTAAAGGAAGAAAACGAGAAGCTAAAAGAAATTGTGAAGTTTGTTGAAGTTTCAACTGATCATATCGACTATCTAGAGCATACACAGTTTTTGAGTACACTAAAGCAAAGTCATTCTGCGTTAGCCGAAGCGACGTTTACTGAAGCAAGGAATCAGATATGTTTCGTAGGGTCAGATGAAGATGTTTCGGCTGCTAAACAGCAATATGAGGATCTAGTTAAAGA